CAAATAAAAATTAGAATGTTTCCTCAAATTTTGGATTCACAAAAAAGAGGGCTGGGGATTTAGCTCAGCAGCAAAGCGCCTGCCTGGCAAGTGCAAGGCCGTGAGTTTGATTCCTGGTACCGGAAGAAAAGCAAAAAGAAAATCAAAAAAAAAGAAGGGCTGGGGTGTGGCTGAGTGTGAAGGCCCTGGGTTCAGTTCCAGGTCAGAAGTAGCCACTGCCACTGCAGGCGACTGGCTGTACCCCGGGCCGTGCTCTGGGCAGGCTGTGGCCCCTCTGACCTCCCCACTGTGACCCATGGCCACCTGCTCACAGCCCTCCCTGCTTGCCTGCCCCACTTGGATGCCAACTCCCGGGAGCGGTCAGCGGGGCCCTGCGGGACCCTACGGCTGCCTCGAACCCTTTCCTTGTGAGCTAGACACCGTCTCCTACAGTAAGGACGAGGACGTGGGTCTCACTGCCACTCCTCGTCTGCCTGGGAAAGTTGAGGTAACAGGCAAGGTGAACAGGCGCTCCCCTCTGCAGAGCCACAAAGCCCAGCACCCCCCCCCGGTACCCCCAGAATGCAGACCCCCTTTCCTTGGCATTCAAGCCCTGAGCTCCATCTCCCGCCCGCCTCCTGACAAGGAGAGATACTCGCCTCACCTTTGCACAGGCTGCTGTCCCGGCCCTTGGTGACCTCACCCTCACTCTGTCCAGCTGCCACAGCCCTCCAGGCCCGGCAGAAGTGGCTGCTCCTCCCAGCGCTCGGTCCACACCTGTTCTGGCCCCAGTTCAGCCCAGGGCACCTTCTCCCGTGACAGGGGTAATTACAGGACTCAGGAGCAGGGGCGGGCTAAGCCTGCCTGGAGCCAGGCCTGCAGGTGACAGGTGCCCGAGGAAGACCCTTGGTGCACCTGGGCTTCTGTGCTCTCCGCCCGTGGCTGTGTCCACGGGGCCAGGGCTGCCATGCAGCAGCTGTCCTAGGAAGGCCACTGGCAGAGCCGGAATAGTCTCAGTCCCTCGAGCCCCAGGACACTGTCCTCGCCCTGCGCTCCTGTCCTACCTGCCTGGCAAACCTGCTGGGTGAGCGGATCCAGACCTGGCACAGGGTGCCGGGGAAGCCAGCCACGCTGGGTCCTGAGAGCTGGCCGGGCGCAGGACCTCCAAGGAGCCCAGGCACCACTGCTGCCAGCACAGCCAGTGGCCAAGGCCGGGACTTCCCAGCCCACTGTCCCGCCCCCAGTCCTTTCACTTTCTGAAAAGTCCGGGCCTCTCCTCCCAGCCCAGGCTGAGCCAAACTTTGATCCCGGCAGCTCGCACAGGGTCATGGGCCATGTGTGCAGGGACGGAGCATAGCCCTGAGGACAGGGGCGGGGTGGGGGTGGGTGTATGTGACAAATGTCCACTGAGCCTCCTACAGTCAGGGCCCAGAAGGGCTCCTCTCCCCAGGGAAGGGCACCGCCGTGCCTGCCCGTCTAGCTCGCCCCAAGAGCCCTGTGCCCACTGAGACACAGGCCCCGGGTGAGGGTAGTTCCCGGGGATGCCCAGGGGACAGCTGGGAGCTGCCTGCAGGAGACTGAAGCAGGGGGAGCCTGCGACGTTCAGGAATGAGGAGCAACTGCAACCGCAGAGGGCCTGAGCCCGAGTCTGAGGCACTGGGAACGCGGCTGGGCGGATCGGAGTCGTCCTGCGGGGAGGCAGCCCCGGCCTGCCTTGGGGCGTTCCACTCGCGTGTGCTGGCAGAGAGCCCCAGGAAAGCCCGAGGGGCAGCTCCAGGCCTGTCCCACCGGCAGGAACTGCGCGTCCCCAGCACGGTCCTGAGCTGGACGCTGTGGTCGCAGTGTGGCAGAGCCGGGCTGCCGCGCCTCTCTCCTCCGGCTGCTGGCGGCCACCGGCTCGGGGTCGTCATAGGTGACCCTGTGCCCCGCTCCCCGTCTCCACTGGGTGAGGGTCACACCTAGTGGCCTCTTTTTAACTTAGG